GGAGCAGCAATCAGGAGCCCAGGAGGAAAGAGAAGAAGGAAGAACTGCAGTTCCTGACACTGACATCCACTGGCCTGAAGCAGGGGAAGGGGGGAGTTACAAATGGATGCATAAACGAGACCTGACTGTGTAATTCAGAGCTAACAGGGTAGTTTACTGAATGTTAATTAAATCCTCAGTGCCTGTTACCAACTGTGGAGATCAACTTATTTTTAAATTAAATAAGCAATAAATGCTTAGCTGAACTTCTATTAAATTTCACCCAGTCAATGAAGTATGTGGGGCTTTTAATAGACATTAAACAAGATAGTTATGGCAAGTTAGTTGATATTTTATTACCTTAAGATAATGGCTGTATTAAATCTCAACTAACTATTCCACTGGCAGCACAGTCATCCAAGATTTGGCGGAAGTTTGCCTGCCTTGAAGCATCACTGGGCAGCAGCAGCAGAGAGAGGAAGGCAGCCAAGTGCTGAAAGGCACCTACTCAGAGGATGCTCAAGTGCATAAACCCACTTATGTGCAAAATGGGATCCCTCCAAAAGGAATGAATCCCAAAGAGCACTGTCCACACCGAATCACAACTGGCATAACAACAGCAGACTCTCAAGCATCCCAACTCCTAGAATCACTAAGGCTGGAGAGGACCTTTAGGATCACCCAATCCAACCCATCACCACCACGCCCTCAGGTCAGATAATTACAGGGTTACTGAGGAATCACTGTATTACGAGGAGCCCTTGACGCCACAAAGGAACCAATAAGCATCCAAGAAACGATCAAAACCTGTGTGTTTTTTTCTTACAAGAAAAGGTTATCAGCAGCCCACAACTCTACCAATGTTTGTTTTCCTTTCTCGAGCATATTGAGATAGTTTGGGAGTGCTTCTGAGTGACTCACACGTGTGTCACTGTCACCCACAGATTCCAACTACAGATACCAACAACCTGAAAGGACAGAGACTTGCTGACAGCTACTTAAAATGATCATTTCCATGCCAGCTCTTGCACTTGCTCAGAACATGATTGAAACCAACTCTTCTGAGATTAAAGCAGTCTCTGCACTGAGGTGTCTCTACCAGTAACCTTAATCACAATGATTAAGTGTGGGTAGTGTTGTTTTTTTTTTCATGCTTGGTTAGAAACATTCTGAACTCTACCTGCTTGCCATGCCCAGAAGTAGGAGCAGAAAGAGCAGAGCCCAGCACGCAGCTAACCTCCACTCCTTGGGCAAGCACAAGCTGTCAAAAGCTTGTTAACTCTGCGGGCTTTTTTTGGTCTGTGGTTTTCGGTTTGATTTGTTGTTTTCTTTTCTGTGTTTGTTTTTGTTTTACAAAACAAAACACTCCCGACATTAAGAGGAGTAAAACACTGAGCTCTTCTTACTTCACTGACACGTCCTTCAGAGACTCCTGGTGCACATGTAAAAGTTGATTGCAACATCTGCCATCCAAAATCTCCCCTGGAACTGTTGTTTGTAAGTTATTTCAAGTCCTGCATTTTCCTATAGGTAACCCACACTCTTTAAAGTTTTTGTGCCTTCCCAATCAGTGCCTTTGGTAACCCACATCCTCAGATAAAGTACGGTTTCCATCTCCCCCACTCTTGCCTGCTTTTCAAATGCGGCTGCAGTTCCAGTAAGCTCTCTAGCTTTTAGCAGAATTGCCCTGCTGTGAGAGCAGAGGGAGATGATGATTTAGTGGGGTAAATCATTATCTGAATAAAAGGTGAGAGTCTCGTTGTCTTGTTCACACATGCATAAAACAAGCACAGGTGCTGAATCCCAGACTTCTGGTAGATCATATAGACACAAATTTGTATTCGTATTTCTTCGCTCAAGCTTTATCTATGTTTGAAAAGTAAAATGCCTTAGAGACACAGGCGTACCTAAAGGAAATGCACATTTCTTTGTCATCACCACAACACCTCCAAGACCTCTCAGTGCACCCTTAGGGATGAGCGTTTGGACTCACGACACCTGAAGAGCTCCCCAGAACTTCAGGCAGCCACAGACAGCGGGGTGAAGGACCAGCCCATGGCTGGAACCCAGCTCAAAGCCCAGTGGCCAGGCAGGCTTATCAGGAGAAAGGCAGGGCAGCATGGCTCCACCATTCAGATGCTGGACAAGGAACGAAACGCTACTGAGCTCTCACTGTCTGCACAACCATGATGAGCAAGGAATGGAAAGGCTGTAGTGGGCACCCTGAGGATACGTGTTCCCACCGATGCATGGAAACTGTCTTATTGCAAACCATTTGTTTTACTACTACTAAAAAAACTACTGCTTTTCTCCAGCTAAAGCCAGCACGAGATGTTTCATGGAAACTTGAGTAAAATGTTTTTTTTCTTTCCAATTAGATGTTCATCATACAGAAGGCAACACTATTACCTGGCAAAGCACCTGATAGTCATACAACCGTCCTATCTTCTTTCCAGACTTGGCTAAATTCTTGCCTTCAGCCATATTCTGCATGATAAATTCAACCATTTAGTTACACATTACACAGAAAAGCATTTACTTCTTTTCACTTTGAATCACTCACTTTCACCCAACATTTCCCAAGCAGTGGCACAAGGGAACAGACTCCTTTACCTCAGCATTTATCACTTGTGTGACACCTTTCTAATGCACATCCTTTCTGTGGGAGCAATGCCAAACTGCTGACCAAGCTTTAGGTAGGGCAAGAGGAAATGGCCACATTGGCCATTTGGTCCAAGGGAGGTTCAGGTTGGATATTCTTCTCAGAAAGAGTGGTGGTGCAGTGGCACAGGCTGCCCAGGGATGTGATGGAGTCAACATCCCTGGAGGTGTTCCAGAACCATAGGGATGTGGCACTGAGGGACATGGTCAGTGGGCAATGTGGATGGCAGGTGGACATTTGGACTAGATGACCTGAGAGGTCTTTTCCAACCTTAATGACTCCATTATTCTATGATACTGAACTCTGAGGTTTTACAGCTCTCTAGCATTTTTGCAATCCTTCTCACAAAATTCTCCACCAGACTTCACAAAGCAGAAGGGAATTGCTCTGGATTTGTTAGCAAATATTAGACAGTCAAACCCAAGCAACGACATTAACAAACAAAGCAACAGGCAGTAAAATGAAGTGACTGCTGCCTCCACTTTGACCACAGCCCTCCATACCGTAATTTGTACTATAAACTTTTAATTAAAAATATATACTGATGATCATTATATATTTAAAAGCACTTCAGCTCTACTGAGAGTGTAGCTGACACTTTGTCTCGGCGCACTGCAAAACTCACTGCTCCAGCTCCAGAGCTTCACATCCTCAGGGAACACGCGCTTTGGCAAGCAGCATCCAACTGAATCTGCACTTGCATCCTTTGGAAATCTGAATTACCAGAATCAGGAACTGGTGCAGCACAAGAGAGCAGCCCATCATCTCTCAGAAACACAGCAGGCACCTTTGACGTCCAATTTGCTCTGGAAGGTTCCAAGGCAGGAGGCGGCAGAACTGCACCTGAACTTTTCTGTATCCCCACCATGATTGTTGGGATACTGGACCTGAAAACCAGCCTTAGCCCTCCAGTGTACAAGTCCATTCTTGCTGGTTTGCCTTGGTTTCACACGAGATCATGACAACATGAATTTACTGCAGGCTGGGCCTGCACCTACAGGAGATACCTGTGAGATCCCACTTCAGCTTCATTTCTCTAGCCACGTCCTCCTTCCCCACCCAGGAGTTCATTCTGCTGCCTACAAGGTTGCTGCAGCTTACATAAGGCCTGTGGCAGGCCTGGTTTCTGGGGAGGAAGCCTTAAAAGCCACTCGGGTGCCCTCTATTCACAGAGATCAGCTCAAGGCCCAAGTGACCCATCACACCACTCTACTCACAACCAGAGAGACCCAAAAGGCCCACAGTGGCCTCCAGCTGCTCCTGAGCTCCACTCAAGGGGAGCCCTCTTAACAAAACTCTAAGCAACCAAAAGAGAGGAATAACAGAGTTAATAAACTCAGGATGAATTGTTGTGGGTGGGCAAGGAGAGAGAGTAGGACAACGGGCAGAGAAAAGTTTCACATGGCGCATCTTTGCCATTGGATGGATATATATCGCCTGAGGGAAATCCCATCTTGTGGAGCACTACTGAGCCTTGTCTGGGGCAGACCTGCTGCACGGAGAAGCAGAAAGCCCATCCTGTCCCCAGATCACACTGCTGCAGGCAGGACAGGGAGCAGCTGTTGGAAACGGGCAGATGAAATGTTAGGCCCCATCTGTGGCTCCAGGCATTTCCCTGCCTTCCTCAGACCCATACTGGTAATTAATTGCATGACTGCCAACACCTGCTACATGACCCAGACCACAGGTGTCCAGGAACTCCCTGATTTCTCAGATTTTGTCCAAAAACTCATTCCTGGAAGGTATAAGCATCAACTCTGCAGGAAATAGATCCAGGAAGCAAAGAACCTCTCAATTCTGGATTGTTTCACCAAAATTGAAGGCTTCTGTGAAACTACGCATTCCACATGGGTCACAACTATTTTCTGCACAGAACTATGGATATGTAGGAAGATGCAGCGGCCAGCATGATGGATCCCATAAACTCTCAAAACTTTGTGTAACCAAATCACCTTGGTCAGAGACAGCCACCAAACAGGAACCTGAAGCCCGAACCAAACTGCAGGGCCAATTTCACATGAATGTAGAAACCGAAAAGCCCATATGAAAAGAAAGCAGCAGAAACCAACGCTGTACACCCATGGGGCCACGCTGCTCCTCGAACTACAGAGCAATTACAGCAGTTTTCTCCATCAACACCTCCTACTCGGGAGCACTGCCTTCTCCCAAGCGCAGCCCCAGGGCGTGGAGACTGCTCAGCTCTCCTGCACAATGGCAGGAATACAAGTTGTCTGTTTGAAAGGGGAGGGAAACAGGGGAGGAGGGGAGAAGGAAAAAAGAATAAAGGGAAAAAAAAAAAAAAAAAAAAAAAAAAGCCCTTGGGTGACGTAAGGGTGTGGGAAATTTCTACAGTACTTACCTGTTGGGGAAGGGTGGGCCTCCCCTGGTGTATAAAAAGCTGCCACGGCTTTGCTTAACTTGTTACTGACTACCGCCACCCGGGCGAAGGGCGGGGGGGCATGGCCGCAACCCGACCAGGTGCACCTGCGGGCGGCGGAGGGGGGAGGCGGCCGAGCGGAGCCCAGGAAGGGGGCACCGGTGGGGGGAGGGGGTCGGGGGGAGCTCCCGCTACCGCCCCACCCGGAGCCGCTGCCGCGCTCGCCCGGGGCCAGGGGGACCGCGGTGCCCCAGGCGTGGGGCGGAGCTAATCGTGGGGCCCCCCCCCCTCCCTCCGGCGCCCGGGGGGGCGCGACGCGCCCCGGCCGGGGGGGCTCCGGCTGTTGCACAGCTGTCTCAGCGGGCGGGGATCGGTGGTGGGGGGAGAGAGGAAGGGGTCAAGTTATTATTCGTAACAATACCTCGGGGGGGAGGAGGCAGCGGAGGCGAGAGCGGCGGCGGCGGCGGCGGGAGGAGGCGGCAGGGGTGGGCCAACAGGCGGGGCCGGGGTCGCGGTGGAGTTCTGGCCCGCCCCACTCCGCCCCGGCTCGGCCGCGCTCCTCCTTCGGCCCCCCACGGCCCCGCCGCCGGCCCCTTCCGCCCGCCGCCGGCCCCTTCCGCGCTCCGCTTCCCGGCTCCAGCCGGCCCCTCCCGCGGTCCCACACCCCCCTCCGCGCCTTCCGATCCCCACCCTCCCGCCCCGTCCCCCCCCCCCCCCCCTCCCGGCTCTGTTTCACTCCGCCCTTCGCATCCCTCCCTCCGCTCTTTCCGGTCCTTTTGCACCCCCCCCATCTCATGCCGCGCTCCCCCCCCCGCCCTTGCGTCCCTTACCTCCCCTCCGGCGGAGGAGGTGGGCTGTGAGCCCCGAGCTCCCGGGGACACCCCCGAAACAAAAAGCGAAAGCGGCGGCCGCTGCCTCCCGCCCCGCCGGGCTGCTGCGCTCTGCCCGGGGCTGACGTCAAGGGCCCAAATTCCTGCCTTTCCCTGCAGGCAGATTTGTCCATGTAAGGGCTGGGGCCGGGGCTGGGGCGGCAGCTCGCGGCACCTCGGGGGTGGGGGAACGGCGATGCCGCTCCGGCCCAGACCCTGCGAGCATCGCTCCCCCGCCCCGAAACTCAGGGGTAGGCCCTGGGGTGTCCGCACCCCCTCGCCCAGCCCCGGGCACAGATCCCAGCGTTCAGCTTCTCCTGGAGGAGTTTTGTGCTGCGGTTTTGTGGCCCTTTTCCTGACATGTTATACTCTGTTCTTCCCCAGCCAGGAGAAGCGCACAGAGGTGGACGATGCTCAGGGTTACAAAGGTTCTGTTGCCTGCTCGTAGGTTTGATACAAAACCTAAGGAGCTGGGGGAAACCATGTTTTCTGCTCTTTCTTTCAGTTTGTTTTGTGGTTATTGATTAAAAAAAAAAAAAAAAAAAAAAAATAACAAAAAAAAAACCCTGGAATTAAAATAATTTAGATTTTGAGTGTGATTGTTTTGATGATGGGTTTAGGTTGGGTTTGCAGCTCTGTAGCCTGGGAATTGCGCTCGTCCTGAGGAGCAGGGGAAGGCAGGAGGGTTATGCTGCGTTCAGGGGCCCGGTGCCAAGCCTTACTCATTTGGAAAGAGAGCGCTGGATGAGATTTTAAGCACTCCAAATGTATTTCACTTTGACAATCAAGAGCTCTGCTGTGCGCTTTCAGAAGATGTTTACACTCTTACCCCATTACCAGCTTTAATGTACGCAGTCACTGCTTAACATCCCCAGAAGAGAAAGTTAGTGCATGAGAACCCAAAAAAGGACATTACGCGCCTACAAGGCGTCAGGAGCTGAAGCTCGGAGTTCAGATCCAACCTCCCTCTTTCCCTCTCTGGCTGCTGAATACTCCAAAACAAGGAGGTGCTCCCCAGACCCACATGTTGGTGGATTGGAGACCCCAGCAGATGCCACTGCTTGGGAAGCGTGCCTCATCTCAAATCCAACCGTGGTACAAACGCTCCCTGTTTGGGGCCCATTCGGTGTCCTGCTCTGGCCCTGGGTACCAGCGCTGCCAAATTCCTGCAAGGGACAGGGAGCACTGCCGAGGGCAGATGCTATCAGAAGCACTGGCACCAGCCTGTCGTCAGAGCCACACAAGGCTTCTAAGTGCTGTGACTAGAAATACCCTGGCCTTGTCCTAGATGCCTACCCTATATCTAAACCCTGCTGGGATCCAAAACCAAAGCAGAATAGCACATGAGTCAGCAGAGCCCCATGCCGTAGGTGTACCTCGAGTGGCAGTAATACCACAAGCATGGCCTGTTGTGAAAGATGGGCACAGCTGCTGCTTAAAGCATGGGTGGACTGGGCTGGATGCTGAGTGCCAAAGGCTTTGCCCACTGTCCTGCAGACATGGGTGCAGTTCCCTCCATGGCCATGCAGCAGTTCATGTGTCTCTCAGCCGAGTGCTTTGTTCATCAGACTGAAGGCCGCGTTCCTTGGGCTCTGAGGAAGGCTCCCAGTGGTGCTGCAAGGATTGGGTGGTTGTGACAAGGGACTTGCTGCCACCAACGGTTGTTAGTCACAGTGTGTTCTTGTGGCTCTCACCGGAGTCCTGCTTTGTAGCGTAGAAGCAGATGTACAGAGGAATTTTTGCCTGTTTTTTTTATTATTATTATTACTTTTATTCTGCGTGAAGTCTTGTTCTGCAGATCTGCAATAGCCAACCGGTATTTAGGGGAGGTATCTGAGAACTAAATGAAACTGTTTGGCCCAAGATGAGAGACATACATTCTCAACTTAGGATTTCAGAGTAAACCAGTGGTCAAATATTTTCCTTGTCCCATATCCAACAGTTATTGCTTCTTTATCCATCAAGCTTATGCAATTTTCCAGCCGCGTTAACAGAAGAGAAGATACTTTGCACGCCCATAACAGCTTCCTTTGAGTGATCTCAAATGCTGTAAGCTTTGGGCTTCCAAAGCATGAGATAGTATTCCTGCTGCCTCCATTTTGCAGGTAGCTGAACTGTGACTAATCCTCTGCAGCACAGCAGAGAAGTTTGATTCCTAGACCATTACCTTTGCAACAAGCTGCCCCAAATGGTCACTGCTTTGTCAAGCATTTTCTATTTTTTTCCAATTTCCTATCATGACCAATATCATAGATTTTGGAAATGAAAGTTGAAACTTCAAGGTGCTGAGCCTGGCTGTGAAAATCTGCTCTTTGCCTGGAAAGAATAAAAAATATTGGCAATGTGCAATCATTCCTTTGGTAATATCTGTCGCACCCTACAACATAGCAGCAAAATGAATTAAACAGCACAAGACTGAAATGCCTGACATAGCATAGGCCACTCAGGAGGCAGTAATACAAGAGTCAGCTTGGACCAATATTAATTCAGGAAATGAAGTTTTTAGTGGTTAAGGAACACAGCTAGAAACCTGGTCTCTGTTCTTTTCCTATGTTGTACAACTTTAAACCAGGCAGTTCACCTTCCTGTGTCTGAGGAGCCCTTAAAAAACTAAAGCATGCACGTTCTTTCCCTCTGCAAGAAGCGATACACCACAAGCAGCCTGAAGTAAAACTTCCCACCAGACCTCAGGCAAAGGGATTCTGTGCAAAATTTCCAGAATTCAACAGATGAAACCTCGTTGTTTAGAGTCTGAGTCTCTCTTTCTTGGTGAAACATCAGATGCAAATGTCACAAAAACCAACCAAATAAGCAGACACAAGGTTGGAAGAGCCCTTGGGAAGCCACGGAATCATAGAATCAGTGAGGCTGGAAAAGATCTCTGAGGTCACCTAGTCCAGCTATCAGCCCATCCCCAATATTGCCCACTGCCCACGTCCCTCAGTGCCACACCTCCATGGTTCTTGAACACCTGCAGGGCCGGTGACCCCACCACCTCCCCATGCAGCCTGTGCCAGTGCCCAACCACCATTTTGCAGAGGAAATTTTTCCTAATATCCAATCTGAATCTATGGTAATTCACCCCTCATACCATAAAGATGGAGCAGCTTTGTCTAAACTGTACTTGACAGATGATTACCTGCCTTACTCCTAAGGATATCTCGAAGATCCGTTTCAGTGCTTCAGTTTGAAAAGCTTTCCTTATCTCTAACCTAAGTCATTTTTGCTGCAATTCAGCTCTTAATCAGATGAAGTCGTGGGGATCTGATGTATTCCCTCACTAGCAGCAGTTCCAGAACAACAAGAAAGGCACCCACCTGGTGAACTAATCCTGCCATGGGTAAAAGCCAGAAATGCTAGAAAACACACTGTATGTGCATTTTTGGGACAGTTGCCACCTAATTCCCAGACAAAGATCACAACTGAATAGCATTAGTTCAGCTGGAGATTCCTCTGGCCCAAGCCAAAGCATTGTTCAACCCCCTCACCACGAGGATGACTCTTTGCACGAACACACTGAGTGGCACATCTGACCCTTTGGTCTCCAAGCAGTGTTCTTGGAAGCACATGCCAAGTGCTTGCTCACAGCAATAGCATTCCTGCGGCACTGGGGAAGGAATGAGGAAACACCAGCATAGATGCTAGACAGAGAAGGGAGAAAAGACTCAACCTGCAAGGCTGGATTAATTTCTAACCAGGGTACATGTTCCTGATCTAGAGATATACACGTGTTAGCTGCCTGGTAGAATGAATCTAGGAATAATAGTGGGCCAAGCTTTGTCGTTCTCCACTTTACAGGTATGTTTGCATCCAAGTAGGAATGCAAAGCATGTGCTGGGCAGGCACTGGGACAGCATGGATCAAGTCTGGGCCAGAACTCTGAAGGAATCCTTCCTGGTAAGAAATACAATTTCCAGCAACCCCCCAATAATTCTCCGTTAGTATATATGCCCATCATCAACCCCCTCTGCATCATTGTACACGTCTTTCAGTTGCATGTAGTTCACCAAACTCCATGTTTTACTTTCCAATTAACCCTAATTAATTCCAGGTCATTTTGTTCTTGAGCAAGACAAGCTCTGGTTAGCTCAGGCCTTTGGTACTGTCTTTTGGGATCATAGATTCCCCTCTGCACTTGTTTCAGGTGTCACTCCCTGCTTTGCTCTGTAACTGTCTCTGCTCTAACTGTGCTAAAATTGCAAAGAATGGCAAAGCTTTGTAAAACTGCTAAATCCCATTGCTGAAAAAGGCAGTTGAACAACGTGCCAATGCAGTACAGTTAATTTTAAGGACATGCTTAAATCCAATTTGAATCCAGTGGGGTTTTAGCTTAGGTTTAAACGTTCTGTTGAACAGGGGTGGATTTAAGGATTGAAGTGTTTTGCTAGACTGAACGTTTGGTGAATGAGGAAGGAGGGTTGTTAGTGCCTAGAAGAAAGGACTGCCTAGCATCCTGTGGCCACAGGCAAGCCATGACTAGTGCTAGTCCCAGCTGCTTGACCATTTTTCTAGTGAAATTTAATGCAATTAGCAAACAAAAGTAAAAAAAAAGCATATTTATAGTATCTCATCAGAGTGATGTGATATAATTAAAGCAGAAGACACTATATGTTGTATTTTATGCCATCTGGTATCCAGCACTAGATTGCTAATGGTGAATGTCTCGTGTCCAGATTTCATGAGTGGTTTGTTTTACAAGAGAATTGGTCAAATTCTTTAAGGAATCTGCATTGAATAAACAAGTACCCTAGCCTTAAAAGAAATATTTGTGGTAACAAATAATTTGGGGGACAGTTTTGCTTCAGCTCTGACCTCCCTGTTGAGAATCAAAGCAAAAATATTGAATGTACTAAACAGATGTCTTCTCCTAGTGACAGCAAGATGAGCAGAGACAGCTGGTTAGAAGAACAACAACAACAAAAACACATCATCATTCCTGCTTTGGCTCCAAAAAATCTTGGACTTGCTGTCAAGGAAGAAAGCTATGTATGTAAGGAGCCAAGAAAGAGACAAATATTATTGAATTTGGTAGCATTTTAGTGAATGTGCTGGAAATAACTTAAGTAGGAAGAAAAGCTGGATGCGCTCCATTGTTTATTAAAAGAATGCCTCCTCTTATTTCCACAGGGACCTATAGCCCATATTGTCATTAACACATTTACGAGATGTATATTTAAAATATGTTGCTTCACTCATCAATCTTACGGGCTCTTCTTGTAAAGAAGAGTTACAGCACATAAAAATATGTACTGCCACATAAATATAGTAGCTGCAAGCTAGAGGTGCCAACTGTGAATACAGCTCCTTCAATCAAGGAAGATGGGTGTAATATGAAGACAATTATAGAGATCAGAAATATTAGGAAAGGAGGAGAAGAGAAAATCAGATTTCCACTGGTGGAAAATAAAAGATTTTTTTTAAAAAAAGAACATGTTTAAAATACAAAGAGAAATTCTGGATGAAGAACAATCAGCAAATCAGAGATGAGTTTTCTGACAAGACTGCAGAGTAATGCAGTGACCTGGTCTGCACAGAGGTAGCACACTCTTTCTCTTGCAGGTTTTCACGTGAACAAAACTTGAACTTTCCACTTGGCTCCTTGGCAGCTCTATTTCCCCAACCTTTGGGCCAAATTGAGGTAAGACTGCTGGGAAGAGTTTAAGAAATGAAAAGCTATGCAGTGTGGCTAACTCCAAAGAGAAATGATTTGAGGTGGATATTCCAGGAGCAATAGGTAGGCCCAAATATCGTGTCATAAATACTGCCCTGCAGCAGGAAAGGTCCTGATGTAGTGCTGCAGACTCAGAAGGCCTCTTCCATGGAGTGCTTCAAAATCCTCAGCTGTCTGCTGCAGTAGTCATAAGGGGTTTAAAGCCTCATGGAACAAAATTGCTTCAGATGCTGTGACCAATTTGACAAACTAGCTTCTAAACAGAGAATGAAAGTGGATGGCCAAAAGATAAGGATGTGGCTCCTGGGTCTCTGGTTCTTCTCAACACAGCAAGAAGGCAGCCTACATACCATCATTTTCATCATAGGAAACCGGGGTTAAGTCTCCTGCTCTGCAAAAGAGCAGATGTGGAACCTTGGGAAAGTTGCAGATTAAGCTAAGCTGGAAACAGCTTCCTCCATTTGCAGTATCTTAGAGAGTCTGGAAACTTTCCCATCTCTACTGTGACAAAAACAGTTCTCAAAAATTTTGGAAGACTTTTCTTCCGTGTAGTAAAGGACAAAAAACACACAGCGATAAACAAAGCTGAGCTCCAGCACCATCTGAAAATCAGGGCACTATTCTGCTTTAATTCCCCATCTTGCCAGCTTCAGCTCCAAGACCCGACCCGCAGTCTCCCAGCCACCCCCGCAGTGACCATGCCACGACAAAGGACCATCTTGGCCAGAAATTCCACACAAAACATTTCTAGACCGTCTTGCTGAAATGGATGCATTCCCACATACACAACATGAAAGGAATCATGTCTAACAAATACTTTATAATGAAAAACATTTACCCAGCACATTCCTACCCACCAACTCTGAAGGTTTGTGTCTCAGTACAGGACCTATAAAAAGGAGAGAACTTTACTTCCCAGGCTCTGGAAGAATACAATTGCATAATAAACCATGGACATGCTTCCTCCATCAACTATTCTAACATCTTCATATACTTTATAAGATGTAAATATAGCCTGAATTGGGACCTGCTGTAACTCATATGTTTAACCTTCACCAACAGCAAGCCTACCCAAGGGCTGCTCCAATTCCTCCGTGGGACACAGAGGTGATGCAGCATGCCCCAGCAGCCCTGGACTCAGCCATCCCCAGGAATTAGGATTGCCAAAGAGCCAGCCCAGCCCCGCTGCCAGTGAGGTGACAGATCCCTGGCACTAGAGCTACACTTGTGCTGCTCATGAGCTGCTTGTGGCTGGAGAGGAATGTCTGCAGAGAGCTAAACCAGATTGCTCGTAGATCTCTTCCAAATGGCTCGCCTCTAATCCAGCAGATAATTAGAGAGTAAATGTACCCTGGGAGCTCCATCTTTCCCCCTGCTGCAGTATGGTAACTTGATAGGAAACATAAGAACGTTGAGTTTGTGCACAGATATTAAGGGCTGGCTGCACTGGAGAAATCTTGGGATGTTGCTGATGCCTTGAGCAGTGCAAGTAATGTCAGCGCCTCCTACATGTATTCTTTCACTTCTCATATGACACATTTGCTACAGTTACCTGTTGGATGCTATGGACCCAGTGCATCCACTGCAGCAGCACAGCAATGACCCAAACAAGAGCTGGGACTCCAGACTGAGCCTGCAAATGCAAAGCTTACAAATATTTGCTCAGAGACCTTTTAGAAAGGGTCAGATGGTTTCAAAACTTCAACAAAACTGACATTTTGACATCATTTGTATTTTTCAGGCCCACACCTACCACAGGAAGGGGAAAAAAATGAGTTTTCAGTTGGTATTTCCATTATCCTGCCTACATCTCAACCAATTGCTTCCAGCATTTGCAGAAATTCTGGACTCCCATCTCACATGTCCAGCATCTCACTCTTCCCAAGCGTAGGCTGAAAAATGCCACTTTCCTCCACTATTAAGTCTAAAGCCGACTACACCCATGTGTCAGCTGTTTACCACCCTCTGTCCCCTCCCTTTGGGCAGCTGACCAGGGACAATGACCTATACACTTGAAGCATTCGTTTTACTTAGTATAACAGAGAAGGAGGGTTGAAGGCAACAAGCAACCTAAGAATATAACCATTCCCACCATATCTTATTACAATTAGAGGGATCAGCTTGCCTCTTTGCTTGCGGGAACACAACAAAACCAGCCAGACTTCATCTGGGCTCTTTTCTGCTCTGCTTAGGCTTAGTCAGACTGGTTCCATTCATGCTTTACCTTCAGGTATGGTCAGAAAGCTACTTAGTCTTGCCTTAGCTGCATTGACACTACTCTGGAAATGCCCTATGTGAGACGACCATTTTGCACAAGCAATACCAACACAGAATCCAAATGTCAGGAAGCATCTGAGAGTGCCACGATTTTGTCCCCGTCACCCTGAGAGTTGCAACAGTTGACGCTGCTGGTGTTGAGCACCAGCCATGAGGATCTGGGAGTGGTGCACACTCTGCATTGAGCCTCACCCCACAGTGAGACAGGCAATTGAGAAAAATAGCACCCTGGCCCCTTCCTGCAGTTAGATCATTATAATGGGTAAATATTTTCTTAGATAGAGAGCTGAGATAAGAGACTTCAGATCTCTGAAATGGAATTTGAACTCAGAAGGACTATCTCTACCTTGCAGTTCTTCGTAACACGCTTTTACCAGCCAAATGTCTTCCCAAAAATAGCTGAGAAATTAGGTGGGAAATTCTTAATAGCTAAAGACGAAGGCATGCATCTCATGGAATAAAATAATCCTGAATAACAAACGCAGCATAAGAACAGCAGCTCAGTTTCAGGCAGCAGGGAGATTGTTCACCATGAGATATATAGAACTGATTTTGTAACAAGTACCAGGGGTTAATTCCCGGACATCATTACAGCTCTACACCATTCAGACTAAATATGTGCTGAGGAGTAAAGAGAAGTCTCTGGGTTGCAGAGTCAGAGTCCTAGAACCTGCCTTAGTGAACTCACTTCAGTGAGAACCTGGTGCAGTAGAAAAAAATAATTGTGATTTAAAAAAAAAAAATTAAAATCACTGTTCTTGTGCTACAGGAAATAGTGATTAGTCATTCCTTATTCTTTTCTCTGCATTATTCCCCAACCTCTTTTGTAAGGGCTGCTCTAAAAGTAATGCCTCCTATATTACAGTGTTGGCTCATGTTGTCAGAGGTGGATGTTGGTGGGATGGCAGCAGAGGATGAACCTTCCTGCCAATATCCTGTTACATTCTGTGGCCATGTGGCAGATGGCAGCAGGGGTGCAGTCTGAAAAAATGGCATCTGGAAGCTCGTATGGAGCAAAGGTGTAGAAATGAATTCCTCCATGAAGAAAAAATGGCACCCATTGACATTCGTTGATGCTCACTGAAAATTTTTGGAGACCAAATAGTGGATGTGAACACAGTGCAGTAGTGGGCGGTGTGTTCCAGCAGTGGTGACAGAGATGGGAAAGACAAGCCACGTTCCTGATAGCCACAGGTGCAGGTTTGTTGTGAGCGTGGCATACAGGCTGTTGTTCATCACTAGCAAAAATGCACAGCTAGTAGTGGTGGCCGTGTTGCAAAATAGTATGTCATAGCTGAAAATGTCCTCCATTAAAAATGTTAAGGTGTTCTTGGTATCTGCTGTAGTTTCCCTGAAGCTAAATAGGAGGCGTTACGTTTAGAGCAACCTACCTTTATCCTCTCCCTTGCTGTTCCAATCCCGTTATGAGCTTTCTGAGGCTTTGCACTTTTGAATTGGAGGTGCTGGTTTATGAGCCTCCTTGGTGGCAGATTGTCTTTGAGGAAGAAGTCCGACTTAAATATCACTTAATATTCAAGAATGTTCTCCACTATTTGACCTCTTTGTGGCTGAAACAGTATTCTTCAGACAATAACCTTAGTGTTTCAAAGCTGGGACCAACACCTGTGGAGTTTCCAAACAAATGGGCTCAGCATTTTCTGATGCACTTCTAGTTACTGCTCCCATGTTTGATTGTTTTGTAATTATAGTTGTAAAACGTGCTATGAGGTAACACGTGGGGGCAAAAAAAAAAAGAAAGAAAGAAAGAAAAAAGAAATCAGACTGCAGAATTGTAGGGGATTTATGGGAGCTACAAGACAAAGAATAACCCACCTTTCTTTCTTCATTGTTTTCCTTGGAAGCCAGCCACTGAAGTTTCCTTGTCAGTAATACAGGGGTTTGTAAATAGAACAAAGAGCTTCCTCACGCCGAGGCTCATTATATAACCCCAGTGAAGTCATGGTGTATCTTCGCATGCAGTTCCCTTGAACTTTGCATCTTTCTCCTCCTGAGAACAGCCCTGCATGCCAGTTTGAACAGATGTGGTTTCCTTTAGGAAAAGTTTTCTGTTAGGGTCATTCCAACTTCCCTTTCAGAGCTTTCCAGCTTCACGTGCGCTTTGCTCAGGGGATTACTGCAGTGACCGCCTGCTCCACGTGCTACTGTTAAGCTTCTCCTCACCTGCTGGCTGAGCTGAACGGCCGCCGAAATCTCTGGTCCATAGAAAAACCTGACATTTTGTGTTTTCCAGAACCAAACCGGAAAGCTGCAATTTCCTTTGAGCTAAAATGATGAGAAACGTCATTTCAGGAGGAGCAAAACGGCCTTACTGCAGCCTGTTGTTTGGGTGTTACGGGCATGTTTTCAAAT